GTAGTCCACTGATTGCATGTGTTGTACCTATCGATGTTTCCAGTTTGTCAGCCTCGCCGAGCCCCTGGAGATGTCTCGCAGAGCCCTGGGGCTCCACGGAGCACAGTTTGAGAAACACTGTTCTAGAGGAACCATGGAGGGGGACTACAGGTGCAGTTACAAGAAACAAAGATTAGGCTTGACAGAATTTGGTTTATTTATACACACACACTTTGACAGACAATATTGGTTTATTTTTTGAGAATTTTTAAAAGATTTTTAATCAACTTAAATTTGCCCAATTTCACAAAATAATGAACTTTAAATGTTTTTTTCCTATGTTTATTTATTTTAAATTTGTATAGTTGCAGGAAATTATGGAGGACAATCATTTAATGATAACAGCGGAAATTATGGAGGACAATCATTTAATGATAATAGCAGGGTGGCCTACAGACTTGCCAGGCCTTTGGGCAAGATGGGGGGCTAAGGCCAAGCCTTGGGAAAAAGGGCCAGGGTGGGGGCTAGCCTTCCCCAGCCAGCCCTCAGCATCACACAAAGCATGCCGCATGGGGCTCCAGCTGCCAGCCATTACCTGGTCCCCGGGGAAGCTGCCCCCTCTGCCCCACCCGGACAGTGGGCCTGGACAGAGATATTGGAATTCAAAAAGGTAAAGGTTTATAACCCTTCAAACACAAACTATCAATATTACATGTCAAAATATACAAAGGAAATGTTACATAAACCAATCATGCCTGTTTCTCCCACTCGTTCACTAATCCACTCAAAGCCCAATTCAAAGCATGTAGACTCCTGGAAGTTATCAGGCAGCATTTTCCTTACTTCAAGGAGCTGTAGATTGTGATGCTTACTCGTGGGCACGTTTTGCCAGTTTGCGGGGTGTACCGTGAAACTGACATTTGTTGCTAAAAAGCCTAAACCTTCCAGTGGTACTTAGCTACACCCCACGCCCGGCACCAGCTTCTACCCTGGCCTACCTCGCCTTGCGGTCTCCCTCAACTCCAACTGCTTTAATTTAGGGGGGAAATCGCCGTCTCCCGAGCCTCTCCCCTCCCCCCACGGTCACCTTTACTCTCACTGAACAAGCGCCGCTTCCTGGGAGAACAGCCCCGACTCCCTGTCCCGGCTGCACGGAGCAGCTCCAGCCCAACGCGACCGGCGGCATCTGGCCGCGACCGGGCATTGATGAAAATACACCCGCCTGGCCCGGGCCCGGCCCAGTTCGCGGGCAGCGTGTCCCTACCTGCAGCCACGAGGTGCGCCAGCAGGAGCAGCGCTTCCATGACCCGGGCAGGACTGGGCAGGGCGGGACGTCGGGAAGGCGCTGCGGCAGGTGCACTTTGAACCGCACTGCGAGCTCTCCGCGCCGCTAGGGGCCGCCTTGCCCCGGTAAGCGCCCGCCCCCACCGGGCCGGGACAGCGGAGCGATGCCCGCACATAGCGGGGCGCAGGGTCCGTGCAGCGCTCCAGGGCCGGAGATGAGGGACACGCAGGGGCAAAGGGGGCGAGGCCGCTTCGCCGGGGCCTCCCGGTAAAATTGTCCCCCGGCCGGTGGAACCCGGCTCCCATAGGGGAACTGGGCACTTGACCTGGGCAAACTTCTCTGGCAAGAATGTGAATACGCGCCGGGCACGGGCAGCCCGAAGCGCTAGGACGCTTGCCCAAGCACGTGGGTAGCAGCCCCGAACTCGGATTCTTTCTGTTCCCAAGCTGCGCCGCTAAAGCTGAGCCACTGAGCTGCTCAGGTTACTGCGTGCGCCGAATACTGAGATTCGAGCTCCCACTATTGAATGACTGGGGGGGGGATCCCGTCTTTCCCTCCACAACAAGCCCTGGGGCCGCCTTCCTTCCCTCAGACCGAGGGGCCTGCCTCCAAACTCGGGGCTCCATTTGCGCTATTCCCTGCATACCCAGAGGGTGGGAACCTTTCATAGGCTTGCAGCTAGAGCTGTGCGCTACCCAGCCTGCAAACTCCCCGGCCCCCCGCAGGACTCTCAGCCGTCCCTCTCTCAACACTGGCCTCTGCAGCCCGCTTCGCTCTTGCAGGGGTCTGATATTTCAGGGGTGGGTGGTTTGGTTGGTTCCCCCAGGTTCTATTTAGTCTCACGTAAGAGTGGAAAGCAGCAGCGCTGCTGCTGAGCACAGAACCAGGGCAGAGGAAGGGACAGTGTAAATGCTTGCTTGTTTTGTTCCCTTTCCTGCCAAGGGCGATCCCAGCCACTCCCAGGCAAGGAACTTAAAGAGCATTTGCCTGGCGGTAACAGCATCCGGATCCTGTGATATGAATACTAATGTCTCTGTTGTAATCTCTGCTTTCGCCATCCTTTCCTCAAAAAGGAATGTCCCTACCCATCTTTTAATTTTCTAAGGTATTTTTACACTTTATCACTGCTCCCTAGGCAGCCATCTCTATGGCACCCTGGTAAGCAAGTAGCATACAGAGACAGCATTTGGAAGAGAGCATTTTGAACAAGAGCATTAGCCAACCCCCCCCCTCCCCCGGCCACACACACACACACCCTGACAGTAAGAGTACCACTACACAGCAGTGTTATGTATTAATAACTGATGTTATTCCAAAATAGCCTAGTCCACATCTACACTACAAGCAGTTATTTCAACATAATGTCCATCTGGAGGACTTCTGACTCCAGTAACCCTCATTTTAGGAGTAAGGGAAGTCGGAGGAAGAGTGCTCTTCCTTAGACTTCCTGCTGTGTAGACAGCACCAAAAGCCGAAATAAGCTATTTTGACTTAAGCTACACAATTGACATAGCTCAAGTTGTGTAGCTTATTTCCGCTCTAGCCCTGCTGTGTACCCGGGCCCTAAGTAGGAGGTGATCTTTAGTGGCCACCTGAAGAGAGAAAATGAAGACCCACATCAAAAAGCAACTCAAAATTGGTGGAAAGACAGCGAAGTCTACATTCCCAGGCTTTAGTCCTATTCTGAGCTGGATCACTCTACCACCTCTCCAAAATTATTCCTTGAGTTCCCTGCTGATCACAAAGAGCGTGTATTAGAACTCTATAAAGTCAAAAGAATGAGACCACCAAAGTACACTGTTGCTATTGTGAACCAATGCTAGCATTTTCTTCACATTTTCTGCTACTGCACATGTAACTTTTGTCTTTACCCTCGATAATGATGGGCTACATCTAGATTGCATCCCTTTTTCATAAAAGGGATGCAAATTAGACGTATCGCAATTGCTAATGAAGCAGGGATTTAAATCTCCCCCGCTTCATTAGCATAAAAATGGCTGCCGCTTTTTTTCAGCACGGAGCTTTGCCGGAAAAAAACGCCAGTCTAGATGCGGATCTTTCGGAAAATAAAGCCTTTTCCGAAAGATCCCTTATCCCTCTTAAAATAAGGAATAAGGGATCTCATTCCGAAAGATCCACGTCTAGACTGGCGCTTTTTTCCGGCAAAGCTCCGTGCTGAAAAAAAGCGGCAGCCATTTTTATGCTAATGAAGCGGGGGAGATTTAAATCCCCGCTTCATTAGCAATTGCGATACATCTAATTTGCATCCCTTTTACGAAAAAGGGATGCAATCTAGACGTAGCCGTGGAGTACTATGGGATACAGAGGCTGCGACAGGTGACAAAGTAGCTAAAAAAACCTGGCTTGTCTATGTCAGTGGTTCTCAGTGGGGGGAGGGGGAGTATGCAGGTGTTACAGGAAGTACATCAACTCATATTTAAGACTATACCAAGTTTTACAGTAATATTGTGCTGTAACACGTGTGTTTAGCTCTATGAACACACAATATGGAAGACTGATTAGCCCACATCTATGTACTGCAGAATTCTTACATTTGACTCCTGGGGGAATTCTGCACCATTGCACAATGAGGACATTGCACAGAATTAATGTTCTGCACATAATTTCATTTTTCCTTGTGCAGAATTGGCACTGCACAGCTGCTGCTCACTGGATCCAGTAGAGCCCAGGAGACTGAGGCACATTGCAGTTCCCAGGTTTACTGGCCCTACTCAGTTACATGGTGTGGTAAGGCCTCTTCCCTACAAAGCAGCTACAAAAGAGAAGAGGCAGAAGCAACAGCTGGGAGCTGCAAGGAGAGGTGCTGATTTTTGGAAGGAGAGATTTAGGTAAAGAAGGGGTAAGGCCTGCCGGGGGGGGGGGAAGCATGACTTGAGCTGTTTCCAGGATAGCTAAACATAGGGGTGGGAAACCTTTTTTGGGTCAGGGGCCACTGACCCACAGCAAAATTAGTTGGGGGCCACATAAACATGAGAAGCAAAAAACAGAATAAGTAGTGGTGTATCCTACGGTTTTCTTTAATTCCCCACTCCTGAGGGGAAATCTTTCTTGGCCGTCTCTATTGTTACAGACACTCTTGATTACAGGTGTCTTAAACTACCAAAATAATTGAAAGTGGCATGACTATATTGGTTTGACAAAATATGCAAATTTTAATTTTGGGGGCAGAATTCATCCAGAAGTACATTTTCCTCTGACGTATCTGATATCAGCCACTGTTGGAAACAGGATATCGGAGTAGATGGAGCTCATCTCTGATCCAGTATGGCAATTTTGCTGTTGCTATACTCAGATAAAAATGTTCAGTTTTAGGGGGCTTGAACAGTCATAATGGAATCACTCCTCCTTACAGCAACTCTGCATGGAAAGTTGTAACATTTTTGTTTAACTAGAAGATCCTCAGCAGAGGAACATGTCATTTTTATTACTAGTGTAACTGATTATTGATTAAGAAAACAAAGTTGATTGAAAAACTGAGAGCCCAATATACTGCATATAAAACTTAGTGCTCTAATGATACAAGTTCTATGTATGCATAGCAAAAAACACTACTACTATTAGATTTTTCTTTTTCTAGAAGAGATATCTAATAGGAGACAAGAAAAGCAACTGTCTCCACCTCAGCTGTTACTTCTGCACTTGTGCTCCCATCATCTATCTTTAACTTGGTTACTCTGTGTCACCTGTCTGATGGCTGTACAAGGATGACACCATGTTAGATTATATTCGTTTATTGTACACTTTTAAGACAATGAAATTTACCAAAATGGTGAATTATGAAATAAAACCTAACACACACGAGCAGATCTCCACATCACAGGAGATCCTAGCATCTATCCTACTCTCCCACAAACTCTTCTATCCAACCATAGATCTTTTTCTTCCCCTTAGTCGTACTTCATCCAGCTTTCTGATCACAGGACTTGATTTTTTAGAAGAAGCAGAGTACTTCTTCAGCAGGGCTTCAAACAGAGCGTCTGTGTTTGGATGAGTGCTCAGAAAGGCCTTCTCCAAAACATACAAATCAACTCCTTTATCCTCAGGAAGACCAGAAATAAAACTCAGTCCAAAATCTATGAGCACCAGATCCAGCTCTTCTACTGGTGTTCGCAAAAGCATGTTGGAAGTTGTAAGATCTCCATGGATAAGATCCTCATCATGCATTCGTGCCAAAACCTCACCTATCTTTTCTGCTAAAAGAAAGAGGTTGCTAGCATCCGTTCCACTTTGCTGTACAGAAGTTATATAATCCCGAACTGTAGTTGCTCCTACAATATCTTCAAGATATATACAGTTGGAGACATAATCCACAAAGTAAACCACTGGTGCAGCTATCCCTATTGAAAAAAAAAGAGTTGATGAAATGCTGGCCTTTAGATAAGATATTCAGTTTTGTAAAATTCAAAATTTATTGCATAAAATTAAATGCACCCTTAGAAGTTTACAATGCAATCCTGGACTCAGGACAGAAGCTCAAATTCTTCTTCAAGTGAAGAATTTTCCTTGGAAAATCTTCTGGTACAGGTGCATGTGGAGAGCACACACACACTTATGTTGAATGGACACAAGCAACAAATCTCAAAGAATATCAGTTATAGATCCAGGTTAACTTTTCCTCACCACTAGTGGGCACTAAGTAGCCCAACTTTTGAATACGACTACTTCCTGTTCCACACTCTTAGACTACGTCTACACTGGCATGATTTTCCGAAAATGCTTTTAACGGAAAAGGTTTTCCGTTAAAAGTATTTCCGGAAAAGCACGTCTAGATTGGCAGGACGCTTTTCCGGGAAAGCATTTTTTCCGGAAAAGCGTCCATGGCCAATCTAGACGCGCTTTTCCACAAAAGAGCCCCGATCGTCATTTTCGCGATCGGGGCTTTTTTGCGGAAAACACTACTTTGCTGTCTATACTGGCCCTTTTCCGGAACAGTTTTCCGGAAAAAGACTTTTGCCCAAACGGGAGAAGCATAGTTTTTCCGGAAAAGCACTGATGATTTTACATTAGATCATCAGTGCTTTTCCGGAAATTCAAGTGGCCAGTGTAGACAGCTGGCAAGTTTTTCCGGAAAAGCGGCTGATTTTCCGGAATAACTTGCCAGTGTAGACACAGCAGGGCTAAAGTTGAATTAAGCTACACAACTTCAGCTACGTCAATTGCATACCTTAAATTTAAATACCTTAATTCGGCTTTTGGCACGGTCTACGCAGCAGGAAGTCGAAGGAAGAACAGTCCTCCTTCGACTTCCCTTACTCCTTGTAAAATGAGGGTTACACGAGTTAGAATAAGAAGTCCTCCAGCTCGACATTATCTCAAAATAATAGCTTGCAATAACAATGTTATTTTGAAATAACGCTGCTATGTAGATGTGACCTTAGAACATAGATCAAAAGAGCTACAGCACTCAGGGGTGTGAAAAATCCACACAACCACTGTAGCCACGCCAATGTTTCAGCATAAAACAGTTAGATGGACAGAAAAATGCCTCCACGAACCTAGCCACTGTCACTGATTGAGGTGTTTTTTCAACAGCAGCACCAGCAACAACAAAACCTATTCTATCACTATAGGATGTGAGTACATCCACTGCATTCCCCATAATGTAGACAAGTTCTAAATTTCCATTCCTTGACATTTCATTATGTATTCTTAAATCCTCCCTTCATATCCCTCAGCTGCCACCTCCCAGCCCAAGTGAGACTGGAAGCAGCTGGGCTGGAGCAGCCCCGGCCTGCAGCACAGGTAGGGATATAAGCAACTAGGCAAGTAATTGACTACCCGATAAGCCCAGGATTATCAGGTAGTCGAGTCACTACTTGCACCCCTCTCCCCTTGCTAGCTGTGTATCAGAGGCAGCAAGGGGGGAGAGAGCAGGAGCCCGCTTAAAAGTCCTGGATAACTCTTACTACATTTAAAAGGCAGAGGCGCAGCAGTCTGGGACCTGGCGTGAGCTGGGACCGCTCAGTCCTAGTTCACGCTGACTCCTGGACCTATTTCAGCTGCAGCTCTGCCTTTTAAATGTAGTAGGAGCCGGACTGCCTGTGCACCCGGCTCCTAATACATTTAAGCTGCAGAGCCAGAGCCACAGTGGGGGTAGCTCCTGGACTCCACCTCCTCTTATCGACTAATCATGTAGTCGATACAAATTGTATCTACTACACGATTAGTCAGTTACCTGCTTCTTAACTTCCTTAGGGACAGAGGCCACTCCAGCCCACCCGTTTAATCAGTTAACCAGCTAAACTTAACATTTAACCGGTTGACTAATTAAACAGGATTTTACATCCTTACCAGAGATCGGACCATGATCATACAGATCCCCTCTGATCTTCAGTGATCAAACTGATCCCCTCTGATCTTCAGTCTTTGAATATTCTTAACACTTGTTCATAACCAAGATGGTGATGCAGAATAAGGTAGTTTTGGTATCTGCACTTGTGAACCTAGAATTTGCAGGGTGTGCTTATTGAACCGTAGCAGTGCTTTGACAGGATGCACAAGGAGTGCACAGCTCTCCCAGTCAATATTCTTTGCAGTCAGCATGCACCTTGCTTCACATGTGCTTGTTTTATGTGCATATTACTTTAGTAAAACCAGTGTGTAAAAAAACTAGGTGGACAAAAGCCAGTGAGATCTGGCAACCCTGTGTGCATGGGCAATGGTAAACAAAATAGCCTGTAGGCCACAGGTTACCCACCACTGACTTAAGCTCTTGGATGGATAATAGGAATAACCTGTCTAGACCTGAAAGTTATTTCAGTGTGTGAATTTAAGGCACAACAGCCTCCAGTAGCTTCTTGAGTTGACAGTACTTCAGAATACAGGCTTGTCTACACTACAGAGAGTACTATAGCATACAGTCTTCCAACGACAGGCAAGATTTTGCTCTCACTGTAGATAAGCCACCTCCCAACAACGATAGCCAGGTCAAGGAAATAATTCGTCAACCTAGTCACATTTGCACCAGGAGTCAGGTTGAATAGCTACTGCACTCAGAGGTATGAACTTTTCCCACTTCTGAGCAACATAGCTATATCGCTCTACATTTTAATTGTAGACCAGATCTCAGAATAATCACACGGGAACCTATTGGAGAATATCTATTCCCATTACTTTCCAAATACAGAAAAACCCAAAGCCTCTTTCTAAATACTATCAAGCCTAAATGAATACATTAATATTGTGAGATGTTCAGATACTACAATAATGGGGATCCCAGAGCTACATACAGCAGGGAAAAAATATCCAGTGGCAGCGAGTCACTCAGGACAATTGTGTGCTGGGCTTTAAACCCTTTGGTGTCCATTTTTGTTGCTTTTCAATTTCACTAATGGTTATGAAAGGTTATCTGGGGTTATGAAAAATGAGGTGCCGATGGCTCCATTCAAGGCACAACCCCCTCCCCAGCCCATACCAAACACCTTCCATACACGCAGCTCCTCTCTCTCCCTTAGCTCAGTCTGTAGTAGAAAAAGATCTCTATTTCCTATTTTTAGTGATATAACATTCTAAGCATTTAAGTCTTAATGTATTAAGTTTTAATATATTTTAAGTTGTATACTCTGCCAAACCATTTTGAAGTAGAAACAGATTTAGATTTTTTTATGGTTATTTTGTTTTTTAGTTCTGAAGTAGATATTGTAATATAGCATAGTAAAAGAATGTATTGCTCTTTTAAAATTCTGTTTGCCGTTGTATTATGTGTGAGAGTGAGAAATGTCAGAGAGAAATGTGAAGGCCACTGGACTAGATGTTCTAGGGAGAAGCCAAGGACTGATGAAGAGGCGCCGGAGTTTGCTGTCTATCCTCATTGAAATGTAAGCAGTGGGCAGACTGACAGCTCTGAAAAAAGGAAAGCATTTATCAACTGGGACAAGATATCCATGATCGAAACCAGCTTAGCATGGCAGAACAAAGAAGATAAGGAGCAAGAAAAACAGACAGACACAAACATCCATCAGAAAAACAGCACTATGATGCAAAATTTACTGATTCCAGTGAAGGAAAACTTATGAGAGAGAGCTGCTTTGCCATAATTTTTGGTGACATCCTGCCAAGACTGGAGCATCGGTCCAGACAAACAGAACCCAGCTCCTCTGTTTGTGAGGAATCTGACTGGCCGCAGAGCATGGATTGGTAAATATAACATTGACTGGTGGGACTGTGGGTGTGTCTGTGTGTCCATGTAAGCATCTGCTAACTGCTTTGCCATTGTATTCTCAATAAATGCAGCATATAAGGATGTTAAAAGGTGGGTAATTGACTAATCGTGTAGTCGATACAATTTGTATCGACTACACGATTAGTCGATAAGGTAAGGTGCTCAGTCCCGGCTTGCACCGGGTCTAGGAGTTACCCCGCTGCAGCTTAAATGTACTAGGAGCCAGCCACGCAGGAAGCACAGCTCTGCTACATTTAAACTGCAGAGGTGCAGCCGGAGTCGGTCCCTGACCTGGCGTGAGCCATGACTGAGCAAACCCAGCTTAGTCCCAGCTCGCACCAGGTCCAGGAGCTACCCCTGCTTCAGCTCTGGATTTTAAATGTAGTAAGAGATAGGGCAGTTCTTACTACATTTAAAATGCAGAGCTGCAGCAGACTGGGACCGGGCACGACCTGGGACCGAGCAAGCCCAGGCACAGGCCTCGCTATTGGAGGCAATAGTGTATGTGGGGGGGATGCAGGAGCTATATGCGTGGGGAGCCAGCTTTTAAGCCAGCTCTCCAGAGCTGTCTGTCCCCATGCAGCTCAGGAGTAGCCTCTGTCTGCAGCAGACCAAGGCTCACCACAGACAGAGACTGCTCCGTGGGATGTGGAGCAGACCCTGCTCACGGTGAGCTTGGGTCTTTTCAACAGCCTTCCCTGAACCCTCCCACCCTGCCCATGCTTCTGCCTCTGACGTGGGGGGGAGGCGGTAAGTAGGTTTTAAGCCATCCCCTGCTTCCCTCCCTTGCTGTCTCTGTATCAGAGGCTGCAAAGGGGAGAGGGGAGGCAATGCCAGTGGCCTAGGCCTATCCACCACTCGACTACTCCCTTACACCCCCAGCAGCCTGTTCCCCTCGAAAAGATCCCGCGCCCTCCTCAGAAGCGTGACAAGATCCTTCCTCCAGCAGCCCCACCACGGAGCTGCCCTCTCCTCCACCATCTCCCCCACAACTCAGACCCCCTCCTGGCCCTGCTGCTGAGCCCCCAGACACACCCAGAGCCCCCCTCTCTCAGCCCCACCTGCCCGGCGGCAGCGCAGCAAGGAGCGGGCCTCCTGCGCCGTGCGCCGCCGGCTCAGCCGCTCCTCCAGCGCCGGGTGCCGGTAGCGCTTGGGGAAGCGGAGCTTGGCCACGGCGGCTCGGCCCAGGAAGCGTCCCCGGTAGAGCCGCGCCTCGGCCCCCTGCTGCACCAGCTGCAGCCCCGGCAGCGGCGGGGCCCCTTCGCTCCCGGCCGCGGCCATGATGGCGGCGGCCCCTACGCTACCGGCGCACGTCGGCTCCGTGGCCAACGCAGCCTGCGGGAGGGGGAAGAGACGACTCCGCCCGCCGCTACTACGTGACTTGCTGAGGCGCTCGGCAAGTTTCGGGTGCGGCCCCCGGGAAGAGCCGAACCGCCCAGGAGGGTGTGAGGTGTCTGGACCCCCCCACTGAGCTAGTTTCTCACCCAGTCGGCTTCCTTCCAGCGCCCCCTGCCCGACAAGTCCCTGTTCGGAGAGTTGCCTGGAGGGGAGCTGGGGCGGATATTACTGGTTACTTGGTGGGGAAGTGAATGGTCAGCACTGAAGTGCCATCGTTCTCTAGCATCCGGTCCGCATTGTGACCCGGCTCTGCGTCATAGAGCTCACGTGACAGCTTTTGTGCGTGTCTTAGCCGGAGGGATTGTAGAGGCATGAACAAGACCCATTCATCCTTCGCAGAAGATGTTTCAAATACAGTGAAGGCACGTGGCCAACTGCTTCGTTTGGTCTTGACACTATCAGTGAATTTTAATAGCACACAACACTTTCCTGGCCTGTTTGCACATACTGGGAGATTCTTATGTTCTTCAGGAGACACAAGCTGTACAGTGGGTTTTGTCCAGTCTATGTCAATAATTCTTGGATTGTTACATTTGGAGATGAGTCCGTGTCGTCCTTGTTTTCCCTGCCACATTATTTGTTTTTGTTTCAGATTATTTTTATTTTATGAACACGTTTCACACAGCTTACTTAAGTTTCATGTGGTGGGGTTGTGGTTAGCAAATATTTACATTGTTTCAGTAACATTTTGGATGATAAAGGAAATCAAACCTCTTCCTTTTCTTATTATTATGTCCTAAATCCATTGGTCCCAAGCTATTTACATAAGGGCTGTGTCTACACAGGCATGAATTTCCAGAAATGCTTAAAACAGAATAGTTTTCGTTATAAGTATTTCCGGAAAAAGAGCGTCTACACTGGCAGGCTGCTTTTCTGGAAAAGCCCTTTTTCCAGAAAAGCATCTGTGGCAATGTAGACGCGCTTTTCCGGAAAAGAGTCCTGATCGTCATTTTCGCGATCGGGGCTTTTTTCCGGAAAAGACTACTGGGCTGTCCGGAACAGTGTTCCGGAATAAGGATTTATGCCCGAGTGGGAGCAGAATAGTTTTTCCGGAATAGCGGCTGATTTTGTACAGTAGAGCATCATTGCATTTCCGGAAATTCAAGGGCCAGTGTAGACAGCTCGCAGCTTATTCCGGAAAAGCGGCTGATTTTCCGGAATAAGTGGCCCAGTGTAGACACAGCCAAGATGCTTTAACATTTAGTCAGAAAAAAAGCTGAATTCCCATTTTGCAGGTTCCCAAATTACAAATACGGTGAAAAAGCTCAGATTTTTCATAGGACTATGGGTGGAGTCAGGGCCGGACTATGAGGGGCTATCTGGGCAGCTGCCAACCTATGGAAGGTGCCTGATTGCAGCTGTAAGGGGCATTGTGCAGCCTCTGCCCTCGGGTGCACGGCACCCCTTACAGCTGCAATCAGACACTGCGCGGCCCACACCCCTGGGCGTACAGCGCCCCTTACAGCCCTGGGGTGGGGGCTGCGCAGCGCCTGATTACAGCTGTACGGGGCGCTGTGCGCTAGGAGAGTGGGGGCCACGCATGCGCCACACACCAAAGCTAGCCGGGGCGCAAGGATGGCTCGAGCCGGCACTGGATGGAGTTTACACACATATAGGACTCCACATGTGTTGGGATTCCCTCTAAGCTCTCTTCCAGTAGACTTATCCAGAAGACCACCTGACCCAGTTCTGGAAGAACACTTCATCCCATTCTCCAGGATCAAAAAGCTCAGTTCAACTCCAGTTCATCACCGAGGTTATTTTATTATCTATATAACAGTGCTATGCCTGTGCTGATCAAGCCCAGATGTAGAGGGTTTAGGTACAGAGTGATACTAAATTGTTCATGTCACGTATAGCACAGTTCATAAAAAAAACTTTAAAAACCAAGGAATGGTCATGCAGCACTTTAGAGACTAACAAAAAATGTAGGTAGTATCATGAGCTTTTGTGGGCACATGTATATACAGTTTATATACATTTTTGTAAATACAATTTACATACATTTTTCCAGGGTACTAAAATATTTGTTCTTGAATCTAAAAGTTTGGACGTTGTACAGATCGTATAAGGATCAAACACTTTGCAGATTGTGAAAGGACCAATTGCTTGTATCTTCACCTTATGTACCTTTCAAGTTTATCAGCTCAGGTTATTTCCAGTTATGTCAGCTAGCCCTGGAACACGGTCTCCAACACACAGCCTGTCATACATATTTTTACAGTTTAACCTTGCACTTAAAGCAAACTATGTGCGTATTTAGTCACATCCATCAAGATCTATGCCTACAGCATGCATTCTTAGGGTTGCCAGGTGTCCGGTTTTGAACCGAAGAGTCCAGTATTTGAGCTTTCTGTTCAGGAAACAAATTGTGAAAATATAAATGAGAAAATATAAATGTCCGGTATTTTCTAAATAAGATGTAATGTAGATTGTGATGTAATGTCAAGTGTGTCTAGTATTTTTGTTGAAACCATCTGGCAACCACACAAACACCTATAGAACATCTGCATATGATATCCACACAGGGCTAGTTTACAGTTAATACATTAGTTCTGCTGCTACAGTGCTTCAGTGTAGACACAACCCATAGCCGCCAGGGGTCACCAACCTATGGCTCTCAAGCCAAATATGGCTCTTTTGTCATTCCCAAAAAACATACAACTTTTTAAATTAAAATGAAAAATGAATTCAAAATTTGTATAACAGGTAATTACTCATGGTATTTTTTTGTCTATTTCACCTTTAGCCAGAGGTGAAAGTAAGGCAGTACACCCCAGTAAGAACCGGCTGCACTCTGTCCAGGGGTGCCTGGGGCACTCTGCTCCTATAAAGGGCTGGCTAAGGGCATGCTGTGGGGGATGCGTGCGCGCTGCCAGCCAGGATAGTGAGAGGGGCTGGCAGAGGCAGATGCCTCCATCTGGCCGCAGCAGCCTGGCTCCAGCCCCCATCTGACTGCTGCGGTCAGTCCCCAGCCACAACGCTACCCCAGCCCCAACGTCCCCGCAACTGCTGCAACAGCCCAGCCACAGCGGCCCGGCTTGGGCTCCGGCTGTGGCAGCCTGGCCAACAAGGCCTCAATCAGGCAGGGCCCAGCCCCCATCTGGCTACAGTGTCCTGTTCCTGGTCTCGATCTCGGGGCAGGTCCCATGGTCCAGCTCCCATCTGGCCACAGGAAGGGCTGGCAACAGCCCCCCTCCTGCTGCAGCACGGGTAGGAGGGGAGGCCACGATCCGGCTGCAGCAATCCCGGCTCAGCCCCTCATCCAGCCACTGCTGCCTGAGTGCAGCAGCCCAGCCTCAGCCAGGAAAGGGAGGGCCCCCCACATACTCTTCTTTCCACCCCCAATGCCCTGCCCTGCCCTGCCTCCTGCACCTCCCACACACCAACTCCCTGCCCTGAGCCCCTCATACACACAACCCTGACTCCTGCTGTTGCTGGGGGTGCAGTTTGTGGATGTGGGGATGCAGAAGTCCCATTAAATATAGTTGTGGAGTACAATGTTTTAATTTATGCTCTTATTAATCGTCATATCAATTATCAATAATATTAAGTTGTATATTTTCAGTTATGTAAATGGGCATTCTAATATTGGCTCTTTGTTAACCACTTGTTCTAAATGTTAATGTCGTTTGGCTCTTTGGTTTGAAAAGGTGGTCGTCTCCTAATATAGCCTATATATAGGAGGATCCACCTGTTGACATAAGTAATTCAGCTCCCCAAAAGGCAGTAGCTAGGTCAATGGAAGAAGTCTTCAGCGATCTAGCACTGTCTACACAGAGATTTAGGTTGGCATAACTGGGTTGCTCTGGGATGTGAAAAATCTACACCCCGAAGTGGCATAATTAAACTGACCTAATTCTATAGCATAGAGCAGACCATATGCTCACACACACAAACAACAAGTAAACAATTTATCTGATGCTGACCAGCCACATCCTCTGGAGTTTCCAAAATCTTTACGAGGAAACATTTATTTCCTCCATTATTTTATTTTTCTTGTTATTTTTATTTTCTAAAGAAATGGTTGGTGTAGCTTTTGGAAATACGGGTTGTACCCTGGACCATGGATGTTCCTGAACCACAGAGCACAAGTACAGGGAGGTCGAGCTGTGGGGCCAGAGCACAGTGGGGTGGGCCAGCAACTCAACTGGGAGCACCATGTGCGGGGGGAAGATGCGGAGGGCTGGGCGGCACAGCCTGCCCCCGGCGGCTAGGAGGTAACAGAGGTCAGCAGCCCTGGAACTCCGGCCCCAGCTGCAGCCAGGAAGCTCCAGCCCTGGCCATGGAGCTTGGGGTCTGGCAGGAACCACAGCGCTCTGGCCCTACCCACAGCCAGACAGACTGGGAAGCCACAGACAGCAGCGGTGCCAAGCTAGAGCCCTAGCATAGGGCAGCAGTTCAGCATGGGACTTGTTGGGATGGCCCTTCCCTCATCCAGCAAATCCCTTCCTTTGAGATCAGTCAGATCCCCAGGGTGCTGGATGAGGGAGGTCCAACCTATAGTCTGGAGTTGTTCACAGGACCACCTAATATTTTATTGCAGGGGTGGGGAACCTATGGCCCACAGACCAGATCTGGCCACTGGCTTAATTTGATCAGGCCCATGGCAAGTCTCCGCACCACAGACCAGAAGCTCCAAACAAGTGGCTCCTGGATGAAAGAAGGTTCCACGCCCTTATTTTAATGGAATAAAACATATTTTGTATCACCCTTGAGAACTTCACTGAGTCACAGAGTTTGTAGTAATGTCTTTTACTTTGTTTCCCTGACAGCATAGTTTTATGTGCAACCTTCCATTTATAAATGATAGAACTGACTTAAAAATTATTACAGGCCAAGTGACAGAAACGGAGTTTGATTTTGTAAAATGGCTAGGCCCCCTAGTTCCCATAGACTTTGAGAGCACTCAGCATCTAGCAGGATGGAGTTCATAC